ACACATTTGTTGCACATGTATTTAATGTATTATGAAATAATTTATGAATTGATTACACCTAATAAGATACAAATATGAAAGTTAATTAATTTTTTAACTCATGTTAAAAATAATTATTCGACCAAAAACTATTTTGGACATACTGTATATTTATTTTGTATTTATTTGCCTACATTTGTACATTCCTTTATACTAATAAAATCCGAATCAAACAAACACGTTTATTTTTTTATTTTATGAAATAATTGGTCTATTATTAATAATGTTAAAACATGAGAATTAATTGTTTTATTTATACTGAAATGAACTAATTTCATATTTTCCATACGTTGTATTATTATTATTATTTTTTTTTATTTTTTTTTGTTAACCTCAGCAACAGCTAACCGTTGCCCTCTTTCCCTCAAGCCCAAAAGTGTGCACACCCCTTTTGCACCGGAGCGACGGAACTTTGACGTTTGTCGCCGCAAACCTGCAGAAAACGGCAGAAAGGCGTCTCTTTTGCGGAAGCGGCCCTCCGAATCGAGGAAGTGTTGAGGGTTGAACATCTCAGGCGTCTCCCCCTCATTCTTGTCGAAGGGCACCGACGCCAGGTTGGTCACGATGGCTGTGCCCTGGGAAGGGGGCGGGGAAAATGATGTCATACTTACATTATCCCACAACATATATCTCGGCCTCCAGACCTATCATGAACATTTTTCTTTTACCGCCCCCTGAAAGTTCTTTTAAAACAACAGTTTCACCGATCACCGCGAAATTGTGTGGACGTGTTTCATAACGCTGCGCATGAAAAAGTCTCAAGGACGCGTGCCCCAAATTGAACCGGACGTCTGTCATTTTTCTTTGAATCAATTATTTCTCATGCAGTAGTACTCTCGAAAGTGTGGGGGAAAAAAAAATGTTGCCTCCAAAACCAGTTTGACCATTTGAGATGAAATTGTCTCATAACAGGTTGCATAAAACAAACATCTCAAATGCCCATTTTTGGAATTGAACAGGAAGTCAGCCATTTTGGTTTGAAGTGGGCTCGTTGGCTTGAATTCTGTGATGAACTTCGATCGCTGCCAAATGTGACCTGAGTTTCCTAAACGAGATTTTAAGTTGCCAGAAATATGCATTGTCAACGAAACTCACCGTTTTGACATTTCTGTTCATTTGAGCAATATGAAATTTGGCAGGCACGTCTACAATTGGTAGTTGTCCACCTTTTTGTATTTGTCCTCAGTCTTTTTTTTTTTTTTTTACCTTTGGGATGAGATATCCTTCCAGTGTTGTCTCCTTACTGGCCATCTTGGGGAACCCCAAAGGAACGATGTTGCCCATCCTCTGAATCTCATAAATGACAGCTTCGGTGTAGGGCATGTTAAGTCGGTCTAACAGCGCGGGCAGGCGAGATTGTCCAATCACATTGTCGATTTCCGCCTGGACTTTCCCTAGTTAGCACCAAACCCCCCAAAAAAAATTCAAAAGACAAAAGCACAGTCGCGGATTCTTATGGGTTGAGATCTGAACCGTGACGGCCTGTCTCACTTTGTATATCCGGATAGTGCATCATGTACACCAGAGCCCAGCGCAAGGTGGTGGCTGAGGTCTCCGTGCCCGCCTCCAGGAGGTCCAGGCTGGAAACCAGCAAGCTTTCAATGTTGAATCCGGCTTCGGGGTCTTCCTTCAGCTACAGAAAGTACCCTCATTTTAACTTCACGACAAGCAGCGATTGGCAACGGATGAGCAATTCTTCAAAGTCTTTGATGGAGCAGCCCACCTTTTCTATCTCCGCAATGTACTCGTCAATGAAGTCGCGGGGTTGCTCCGGGTTCCACTGCTCCTGGTGCTTTTGCACTTCAGCCTTCAGGAAGAGCTCGATCTCCCTGTAGTTGGCGAGGACTGTCTGGTGCGGGCCTGGCAGGTACTTGAATAGAGAGGGGAAGGCGTTGTAGAGCTGTGGACGGAGCAAAAAATAAAAAACAGGTTGCTTGATGCGGCAGGGACTGGGTTTGCGACGACACTACAGGCCCTGGACCTGTGCAAATGGAGAACCGGCTAGCAGAATGGCCTCGTTGTCCAGCTCGAGAAATTTGCGGTAGTTTCCATCGCTGTACTCAAAGCGGTGTCCAAACAGCACCGTGGAGATGACGTTGCCAACCGCGTTGGTGAGAGTGAAGTGAGGGTTGAATGGCTTCCCTGGAGATGTAAAGCATCATGGGATCATTTTACGCTATTGGCAGGAGTTGTGGAATTTATAACTTTTTCTTCTGGCAAGGAAATTATCGCATTGGGGAAAATATATATGTCAAATACGTACATCTCAAACATCCCTGGAGATGTAAAGCATCATGGGATCATTTTACACTATTTGGCAGGAGTTCTGGAATTTATAACTTTTTCTTCTGGCAAAGAAATTATAGCATTGGGGAAAATATATATATCAAATACGTACATCTCTAACCTGGACATTTCTCGACCCCGCGGCATCAAGGGCATTTAATGCAGGACTTGCCTTGCTCCTCTTTGAAGGCCTCGCACAAGAAGTCACATTCCACTTTGATGTAGTTTTCCAGGGATCGCTGGCCTTCTCCAAAGTGGCGTAGGTAGGAGAGGGTAAACTTCCTGTGCTTCTTCCACAGGTAACCGTTGCTCATCACCACACCTGCAACAATGTCAACGGGTTATCCCACACTGTTCCCATGACGAAAACACAGCAATGTTCCTCTCAGTCAGGAAGTGTTGGATGTGTTATCAAGCAGTCCCGAGTTGTCCTGCCACAACGCTCACTTCTGCACTGAACAAAGCAAATGGACATGTGCCTACCAGTAATATGTGCCAGTAAATCGACAGATGCGTCGGGGGCATGTCAAAGGACACACCCTTACACTGCCGGAAAGCCAAACTTGGTGCAGAAATGAGCAGTCCAATAAACAAACGGGACGTGCGCCTCCCTGAAAATCTGAATCCAATCTCATTTTCACAATGGTCTCACTCACCGATACCCTTGAACATTTCATCGAAAAGCGGGAGAGCGGGCCGCTCCACAAAGCTGTCCGGCTGGCTGACCAGTGTCTTTTTGACCATGTGGTACCCCGAGACAAACACCACCCTCTCACTGCCTTGCCTCAAGCTGAACACGGGGCCGTACTTCTTGGCGAGCTGAAAAAACAATCCATCAAATGAATGAGACGGTTTAACAATAAGGCGTTCGTTGCAAAAAAGCTTACGCTCTCCAAGGCTTGGTAGTCCATTGCAGTGAAGACATTCCCGAGAAAAGGCAGGGCCAAAGGTCCCGGTGGGAAAGTGCCGGGCCGCCAGTTTCGCAGCACATCTGTCAACAGCAGAGCCGCCAACGCAAGCAGCAGCCAGCCACTCGCGTCCAGACACTCGTAAAGAGCTTGAAAAATCATGATTTGTCAACCGATTCTTCTCATCCGTCAAGCCGCGGATCAGAGTAGGTTGTTTTTCGAGGGAAGAGGAGGGAGAGGAAGGGTTATGTAACATGTCCTAGTGTGCGGTGAAAAGTAAGATTAAAGGTGAAACGATTTTACAGCTGGCTGCTGCTCGTTGACGCCGTAGAGGGAGTGTGCACACCACACAATTGATTGTCGATATCTTTTATTTATTTATTTATTTATTTAAATACATTCACTTGAGTGTGTTATGCCCCATGAAAGCACTCCAGCAATGATTAACTGGGATCAGTGTCAGTGGTCAGTTTACCTTTGGCGCTGCTAGCAATCATTAAAACTGTGCAACTAATACGAGCCATAAAAGGGAGGGGAAAAAAAAAATAGAAAAAAATGCAAGCTGTGTAAGTAACAGCAATTTTGCCAGTCATAAAAGTAGTACAAATAATAAAGTCATGCAAATAATAGAAGTGTAGTGCGCGTGAAAGAATAATCAGTCATGAAATCATCAAAAGTAATTGAAATAAGACAAAAAGGGAAGATAGGAAGCCAAAAAAAAATCTTTTCAGAAATGTAAAAAAAGGACAACAAGGCAATTTGGATCAAAAAAACTAAATGAATCATGTTAACAGGTTACAGGTTATCATTATTGGTGCATGAAAGGGTTAACTAGAGTTTTTTAAAAAAATGATTCAAATTGACAAACAGACAGAAACAACAAACAAACAATGAAACAACAAGCCCTGGAAAAAAAAATAAACAACAACAAAAAAAAAAACATAAGCTAACTGACGAGATAACCACGAACACCAGCACAAGACGCGAGTGATTGGAGGAAGCTGATTGGGACCGACCGGCTGATGAGAAGAGGCGAAAAGAAAACCTCATAAATAAGACACACAAGGAAACAAGAATACAGAAAAACAAAACCACGAGTCGTCGAATGCGCGGTTGCCGAATCGCGAGTGTGCGGGGGGGGTCCGCTGCGCATGCTCATTCCGGCGGGTTGCGTGTTCAAACCGGGAACACTTGCGTGCGAATGTCATCTTGCGGTGAGTCAAGTAGGGCACCTGCGGACTTGAAAACTCGCCCCCCGCCCCCCCTCTCCCCGCTTACATCACTAAACCGGGTCACTGGCCTCATTTGTTTTTCTTTTTTTTTTTTTTTTTTCCGCTCCCCCACGTGCAACACAAGCACAAGCACCGCGTGCCATTTTAACACCCGGATCTGGCGCCGTTTGCATCTTATCAGATGGACGCTTCGCCAAACGTCAAAAGCCATCGCTCGACGGCAGGAAGTTGTTCCGCTGACGCGACGACGTTTAAGCGCTGAGCTGCGATGAGCCTCTGGAGATGCTTCATCATGCTTCTCCTCAGCAGTGAGTATTTTGTCGCTTTTTTTCCCCCCCTCCCTGCGCTCTCAAAAGGCTTCCACGTCTGCCTTTTTTATTTTATTTTTTTTTGTACTTCCTCGCAGGAAGTGGGCCACTCTTTGGCGGCTGCCAGGTGTTTGACGACAGCCTGGGTCACGTCAGGGTGGACCTGGCCTCGCCCTTTTTGCTGGGCTCGGACCTCCGGGTGTACTGCCACATCAACAAGTGCGGATCGAGGTAAGAACCCAGAGACAAAACATTAGGGACAGGCGCTCATCAGTGCCTGTGCAAGAAGCCGTAGTTTAAAAAAATAATCAGTTTTTGTTGATTTGGCTGTCGATGAGCAGTAACGAATGCCGGTTGACTTCCAAGTTGACCTTCTTTCGAAGCAACTTCCCCCACAGAGGAAGTCGTGTTCAAGGCTAAAAAAAAAAAAATCAAAAGTGGTAACTGGACATTGGATGAATCATAAAAAGTACACATTTTTAAAAAATGTATTCGTAAGTCCTAGTCACGATTCAAAAAGCAAAAAACTTAGTGTATGTAAAAATAACGCAAAATTTTTTTGTCATTTAGTATCAAAGTAACCATAAGAGATGTAGTAAAAAAAAAAATCAAAATAGAGCGAAATGATAAATTCTGTGTTTACAAAAAGTAATTCAAGTGATAAAGTACACATTACAGTAGTAATGAAGTTATCAGTCATAAAAAGTAAAAAAAATAGTCTCCAGCGACATAAAAAACGCTTCCTGCATAAGTAATACAAATAATTTGAAAAATAAGAAAAAGAATACGACGACAAATAAAAAGTCATGAAAAAAAACGATTCTGCCGCCATAAAAGTGCAGCCTCTTCAGAAAAGCACAACATGCTTTGTGACGAAAAATGTATGTCATATGTCGCAATAATCAAAGCAGTGAAGAAATACCGAGTGTTGCATGAAAAAAAATTTTTGCCTTTACAAAAAGAAAAAAAGAAGTCGAAAAGAAATACAAATATTGATTCAGTAAAACGGAGATTTATATACAATAATATAAATGTGAGTATTGAAATGATGAAATCAAGGTCATGAATATCATGTCATACAATTCTAAAAAGCAAACACTAAAATTGATGAAGAAAATAATATCCAAAGCAATATAATGAAATTTCATAATAATTTGCTTTTTACAAAGAGTAATACAAGAAAAAGGAAATAAGTAAAAAATGAAAAATAGTCCTAACAAGTTACAATAATCAAAGTAATACAAGATAAAACTCATAGAATTGATCTAAAATAGAACCAAAAAGTGACAAAAAAAAAGACAAAAAACACAACAAGGAAAGAAAGTGAAAGTGCAAATACAACTAAGGTGTGTAATGCTGCTGATGTTTTGCAGGTCCAAAGTGTCTTTGGTGTTGAAGCCCGAGGATCAGTGGCAGAGGCACAACTCGATTGAATTGGACTGCAGCTCGGTCGTGGAGTTCAGGCAGCCCGACGTCCAGTGGCCCCGATTCCACCTGCTCTGCAGGCTGCACGAGGACGGCGTCGTCTACGTTGTCGGAGGGATAAACTTGCACGGCGGCCGTACGTACTGCAGCGTCGGATTGAAATTATGTAGCTCGCTAGCTAGACAAGCAACGGCAACTTAGACAGTAGCCAAAAAAATGACAAACTAGCATCATGGCTAATAACATGCATTTTTCCGTCATGAAAGGGCCCCCAGATAAGCCGGAGAACATCACCTGCGAGACCACCTCGCCTTCCCCATGGGTGGAGTGCCGGTGGCGGGCTGGACGCGACACCCACGTGGTCACTTCCTATAAGGTGTCACTCAGCAGGTCAGCTGTCAATCACTCAGCGGCTGCTTGGATCGACTCGTAAAAGCAAACGTTTTTGTGTGTGTGTGTGCGTGTGTGTCACCCTCAGTGAAAACGGCACTTGGAATTGGACGTCGGAGGCGGACAATGTGGTGCTACCGAAAGCCAAGTTGGATGTGAACCGGCGTTACCGACTGGTGGTCAGCGCCGACAACCGCTTTGGACGCTCCCGCTCGGACCCGTTTATGCTGCAGTCGGCGCAATTAAGTGAGCAAGCAAGAAATGCACGCAGCGCAAAGCAAGACGGTGACTCCCACGACAATGCGCACTTAGCACTGAAGTACAGATAATTAGCGACAAATTCAAATTCAGTTCATAAAAAAGGGATTAATGGGAATAAGTCTTATTCGACAGCAGTCACAATGAATAGTGAAAAGGCCAACATGATGATGAAATAAGGGGTCTCCCCTCTCCTGCAGTCCTACCCCAAAGCCCTCACATCACACAAGTCTACTTCGGGAACTCCTCCACGCTGGCGGCCGTGTTGCGGTGGGGTACCCCCGAAGACTTGTCGCAGCTCAGCGCTTCGGTCAGACTCCGCCCAGCCAACTCTTCCTCCTGGGTAAAAAAAATAAAAACCTCCTCCTGAGCGGGTGTGTTTCCTGCGCTGACCCCCTGCCTCTTATCGCTTAGGAAGTGAGAGAGGCGACGCGGCTCAGCCAGGACGAGGTACGAGTGGACGGCCTGGAGCCCCTGGTAGACTACCAATTCCAGATCAGGATGTGTACCACGGGAACCAGCAAATGCAGCAAATGGAGTTCAGAGGTGATGAGCAGAAGTCCAGGAAAAGGTAAGCTCAATTTTCCTTTCAAGTATTTACATGGATTATTACACTGAAGTACAAAATGAAAATACAGGAACCATCGTAAATATAACAAAGGTGCATGTGTGTGTAGTTTATTTCCCACACCACCCAAGATTGCTTCCATTCATTCCTCAAAGTCTGCACTCAGTCTATTCAGCCAAATTCCTTCTCATTCAAGCCCTCCCGAAACAGCAAGGGAGATTCCCCAGGGCTCCATCTTGGGGCCCCCGCTCTTCATGATCAATCTCCTTTGATTGGGCCTCATTTTCTGGCGTTTTGATACTCTTTCATTACTTTGGGGATGGCAGCCACCTCTATCATTCTTACAAACTCAACATATCACTTCCATCGTCCTTCGTCATGTCCTGCTTCGCAATATTACAAGTAGTTTAGCAATAGCAATGCTAGTTTCATTAACCGGTCTTTGGCGGTTCCTATTATCTGTCAGCATTATGCTAGCAGACTTTTATAAGGCAAATTAAGGTTAAATATGATGAATTTAATCATCATTTGTTGTTTTGAGTTTGATAAACTTCAGATGGGCGTGCCACTAAACTGCTTGTCTATCTTTAGGACCTACTCAGCCGCTGCGTGTGTGGCGGATCTTGAGCAATCACAAGAGCAGCTCACTGCAGACTGTCTCTGTTTTGTGGAAGGTAACATGGTTTACTTCTTGAGATATTTTGCGTCTTAAAGGAGACATAGTGTGTCATGCCATTTTTTTCCAATTTAAAACAAGTTCTCAGGTGTTTGCTCATGGTAATCTCTGTGAACACCGCCTTGTGCTTCTGTGTTGTTGCTTGAAAACATTGGATCTTCACCCAGGATATCTTCCCAGTCATGGGAGGAGCGACTCGGTATGAGGGCCGTATTCTGTACCGTAAATTAGCCAAATTGTTGCATCACAATCCCTAGGCTCCTCCTCCAGAGACGTTCAGTGGCCAGGTGGAGCACTACAAGATAGACCTGGGTCGGGGTCCTGCGGTTCGGGAAGTCATCTGCGCCACGTCCCTGTGCCGGTTTCCCCTTCAGGTGCCGTCTGATCTTGCGGCGCTTGCTGTCAGCGTGGTCACCACTTATGGGACGTCGCCACCGGCCATCGTGCCCCTCTCACTCTCAGGTACACACCCAACGCATTACAACACACACTCTAAGTGACATATTGCAGTATTTGTTATTCTATTATAAAATTATCTACTATTGGATAATTTAATGTAAGATAACCTTTATTAGTCCCACACCGGGGAAATTTACATATATAAATAAATGTGGTGAATAAAGCATTTACCAAACCTTAATGAGAATGTATTTATGTTGAAATGGTAGCAACAAGGCTAATGTAGCATGCGGCTGTTCAGGTGATCTTGGGCCTGCTCTCAGGCGAGGTTATCCCACGGCTAACGGCAGCGCTATGCTCGTCTCCTGGGAGTTGACTAGACCAAGGGTACCGGGAAGCGAAGAGCTGTACTATGTCCTGGAATGGACTAGCGTGCCTGCGGGACATCGTGAGCTAGGCTGGATGCAAGTGTCCATGGATCAAAACAATGCAACAATCACAGGTAAAGAAACACAAACGCACTATCAGAAAGAGTAAAGGAACACAGTGAGGCTCCTTTTTTTAATACGATACTGACACCCAGTGGATAGTGAGTGTATTACACACAATTTCCTTGTGATTTCCCGTTTTGAGGCATGTCTCTGGGTGTGAGGTACAACATCTCAGTGTACGTCGTGAACACACGAGGAGTCAGCACGTCGTCCTCCATCTTGGCCTACTCAGGACAACTCAGTAATACACTTCTGCATACATTTTTGTTTATTTTTACTGATGTTTTTTAAATGAGATACTAAGTGAATCACTGTGAACACTGGTATTGACAGGCCTTCAATTCCTCTTACGTTTTATGTTACAGCCAAAATGTTTTTGTCTCTCCTTTCTCTCCAAATTCCACACACAACACTGTATGAAAAAGAGGACATTAAAAAAAGTGGAAACTGAACTCTGCATCACTTTTCCACATTTACAAAATGGATGAGGTTTTTTTTACCCTCAAAATGTTAAACACCTCATAAAAAAGATGAACTAGAGAGAGAGCGAATGAGAGCGAAAGAGGGAGAGATAGAGTTTTGTTAAATTAGCTTCTTTTTTTTAAATTATGGCATTTTAGGTGTTATGTGTCCCTTTTTGAAGAAATAAATGAATTGAAACCTTATAGGAATAAGACTAACATCATAAAATGTAAAAAACGTCACATCACGCTTTGATGTTTCAGAACCGGACGCTGGTCCCAGGGTGTCGGTGCTGCACCACAACTCCACACACCTCCTGGTCCAGTGGGAGGACCCCGCGGTGGAGCGGCAGAGGGGCTTCATCAACAACTACACCGTCTATCTGAGGACCCCGCACGTGCGCAGCCAAGAAATCCCTGGTGAACAAAAGCGTCACTGCGAAACAAATACAAACGAGTGAAAATAAGGGAACGACTGGAAGACTCTGATTGAATCCAGCACTGACCTCTAGAGGCCAGTTTGAGTACTACTACAACTACTAGTACTACTGCCGCCCGTTTCGCGATCGCTTTTTTTATTTTATTTTATTTTTTTTAAATAACATGACCTGTTAATTAAATGTCAGGGTTTGTAGTTCTGCTTCCAAATGATGGTTTGAAAGAAAGAAGGTCAAGTTAGGCTTTCAAAGGTTTATTTTCTTCATCCCTCCCACGCTTACTTCCTCCCCCTTCTTTCTCTGTCCCTTCTTTCCTATTTTTCTTTTTGTCCCTTATATTCCTTCCCTAATTTCTATAATTTTTCTTAAATACCTTTCTTCCTCCCTGGTCCACTTCCTTCCTCCTTCACTTTCTTTCTTCCTACCTACCTACCTTTCTTCCTCCTTCCATTCCTTTTTGTCCCTTTCTTTGCTTCCTTCCTTCCTTGGTATCACACATCATTTCTTTGCATCCTTCCTTCTGTCCTGCTATAAATCCTCCATCCTTGTTTTCTTGCTTCCAACCTTTATTCTTTCCTTTCTTCCTCCACACTTTCCCTTCCGTCGTGAAATAATTGAATTTAAAAACCTCATGTTGCACCTTACTGTGCCTACCTTGGACCTAACCCTCCATTGACACATGCGGCATTTTACCGTTTGTAACTGTCATGCAAGTGTGAAAAGAAGTGAAGCCCTCCTAGGACGTGAGCAGCACTTGTCAGCTTGTGTAAGACTGCTGACGTTGTCATTGTCGTTAGTGGCGGTGGCTGCGTCGCATCAGAAGCAGGCACGGCTAAAGTGTCCCCTGGGCGCCGTGGCCATCCAGATGTCGGCCTCCACCGCTGCCGGAGAGGGCCCGCGCGGGAACCTCATCTACTCTCGGCCCACGGAGCCTGCAGGTGCCTCATCATGCAATTCCCCATGACGTTGCTTCAATAATACAAATGCGCCGTAGAATGCGAGAGTTGGAGAATTTCAAGGTGCTGAATACTGGAAAAGTGAGCATTTGAGAGTGAGAAATTCTTTCCAGTTTGACATTAATCAGCCGAACATTTTGAAGTTGGAATCTACGGAAGGTTGGTTTCAATTTGGAAAATGTCCTGATTCAATTCAAATAATTTATTTTTTCATGAAAATGTGGAATTGTTGGGGAAAGTGAGCAATTTGTGGAATGCCTGAATGAAAAAAAAAAGTATTTAATGGTTGGTTTCTTTTTTTTTGTTTAGGTGGACTGGCCATGCTGGTGTTCCCCGTATTGGCTGTGTTGGCTGTCTTGGTACGGCTGGCGTGCTGGAGCTGTGTGAGGCAAAGGTACAGACCCCCACCCCCACCCCACCCCTTCCTCAAAAAAAACAATATTTGACTCATTCCACTAGAAGTGCCCTTTTGAGCTTGATTGTTCAGCACAACAACAGCACCAAAAGTGTGTGTGTGTGTGTGCGTGTGTGAAATGAACAGGATCAAAGCAAGATGCGCATCGGGTGGTCCTGACTGGTTGGTGGAAAAGCTCCCCAAGCCAGAAAAAAGCCAAGCCATCAAACTGCTGGAGGTTGGACACTTCATTGGGTACCCCAGTGCCATCCAAAACAAGACATTGTTCACTGATGTTGTCTTGTGTTGAATCACTCGATTCTTTACGTTGCCATGTCATCATTTTTTTGAACAAACATAAGGAATAAACTAATCTGCATGACAATAAACAATATCAGATTTATTATAAGATTTAATCTGAAAACTTTTTTAAAAAATTTACTTCAATTCGAGTTAACTTACAAAACACCGACTGCTCATTGCATGCATGATGAATACATTCAAATAAATCAATAAATTATCACAATAGTAGTAATAATAATAATAATAATAATCATCTCCATCCTTAGCAGGACGCCATCCTGAGCGAGCCGTCCTTCTCGTACACCGACAGCGACCCGCCGCTTTCCCCGATCAGTTTTGCCTCCGGAGAGGACTTGTATCCCCCCGTCCCCCCTGTCCAGCATCCCGACAAACCCGAGACCAGTTTTCTGGAGCCGTTTGTCGTGGCAACGCTGGATCACAGTTACAAACCTCAGCTGACCGTGGCCCCACAAGGAGAACCGCCGGACCAGGACCAGACGCCCCCCAGGGGGCATGACTCGTGTTTCAGCGGCTTTGGACCGAACCTGGGGAACTTGCTATCCAGCTTGGAGATGGACTCCTCCGCCTGGCCCCGCACGCCGGGATCGGACCGCGGCAGAGACAACTGGCGGGACGCCGAGGACCACCCCCCTGCGGTGGATTTACAAGGTGACACTGTGGTCGAGGTCGCGCTGACTGGTGGCTACATCCCTCAAATCTGCATTCCCAGCAGTGGGCGGGAAACGGAATAACCAACACTGATGTTGTTCATTCATCCCGTCTGCAAATTTAGTCGGAAACTGGACTATTAAGTCAGCACGACAAAAAGTCTCTGTGTCAATTTTTGCATTACTTTTCACAAACTTGACCCCCGAAATGTTTTCGATTTTTGGATAATAATTTTGTCGCTTGGGTAAAGGAGTAGCAAATTTTCTCGAAAGTGTCCCTCCCATTTAAACCTCTGCCAAAGGAGTATTAAGGATTCCCCCAAATTGTAATTTTGTGCAATATTCGACTTAATTCTCTAATTTAAGACAGTAGATTTCTAGGACAGGCTCACAATTAGCAAGGTTGCATGAAAGTTTCTCAAAAATAGTTGCTTTGCCACTAATTAATGTTCACTATTTTGTACTTTTTGAAACAATATCGTACAAAATTCTTGTGTGAACGGAGTCCCTCGACTTCTGTCACGGTTGCAGCAAAATATGCCGAAAACTGTCAGTTTCGTACTTATTGCTTTTTTTTTTTCCGAAGTGTATTTTATACTTTTAGGTCAATACCTGACTAAAGAACAGACGCAAAATGGTTCTCTGAATTCATCCTCCGGCTCGGTCAGCTTTCTTTGGCGGTGCTCTATTTTGTCTTCTTCTAGATTCTTACAATGAAAGACCCTAAATCTGATTTAAACCTCCACCAAGCAACAAAACACTCTTAAAAAAGGCATCAGCAAAAACAATTAGCTTAGCATTTGGGGTCAGTGTTAGCATAGCATTTGGATGTCAGCTTGTGGCATGAGTAAGTAAAAACACACCACAAGTCAGTTGTCTATTTCCTCAACTTCAACTTAACACTTTTTTTTTTCTTGCAACTTCCTGAGGGCAATTTCACTTCCTCACCCGCCTACATCAGACACACACCCATGCGCTTACGCACAACACACACACACACACACACACACAAATTTAAAACTGAAACAATTAAACCTGATGCTTTTTTTTTTTAGACACTCAGGGGAGATGCTTTGTGGCAGTAGGGGAAAGTCCCACAATGCATCTCGTTATTTGTGGTGATGCTTGAAAGGACTTCCCAGATGCACGGAAATTGTGATTAGGAGAGCTGTGGGAAATTGTGTCAATTGTCTGGTAGCTGAGCTAAGTGGAGTTGCTTTTGAAAGTAAAATAAGAAAAGATAACGTCTGGGACATTGCGTTAACTGTCTGCTCGCTGAAAATGAAATATACTGGAGACGGGGATCAAATGTGTGTGTCTCAATGTCAGGAATTGAAAAGGTGGACATGATTCCAGTCGCTGGGATGTCTCAACATAACACATAAAAATTAAACATCACTTATGTAACGCAACGTAGCATAACGTAAGAAATGCTGTGTTACGTCAATTAGCATGACATACTTTGTAGATGATGAAACACCAAGTAAAGCACCATTGCATACCAAACATCACATCAACAAAGTGTGTGCAGGAAAGTGGTTAAGAGTGCATGATTGTCTGTGTCTCATGTGTTTTTTTTGTATTATTTGGTCTTTTTTTTTAACTTTTCTTTTGATAGCGGCGCGGGCACTTTTCACAAACTTGACCCCCGAAATGTTTTCGATTTTTGGATAATAATTTTGTCGCTTGGGTAAAGGAGTAGCAAATTTTCTCGAAAGTGTCCCTCCCATTTAAACCTCTGCCAAAGGAGTATTAAGGATTCCCCCAAATTGTAATTTTGTGCAATATTCGACTTAATTCTCTAATTTAAGACAGTAGATTTCTAGGACAGGCTCACAATTAGCAAGGTTGCATGAAAGTTTCTCAAAAATAGTTGCTTTGCCACTAATTAATGTTCACTATTTTGTACTTTTTGAAACAATATCGTACAAAATTCTTGTGTGAACGGAGTCCCTCGACTTCTATCACGGTTGCAGCAAAATATGCCGAAAACTGTCAGTTTCGTACTTATTGCTTTTTTTTTTTCCGAAGTGTATTTTATACTTTTAGGTCAATACCTGACTAAAGAACAGACGCAAAATGGTTCTCTGAATTCATCCTCCGGCTCGGTCAGCTTTCTTTGGCGGTGCTCTATTTTGTCTTCTTCTAGATTCTTACAATGAAAGACCCTAAATCTGATTTAAACCTCCACCAAGCAACAAAACACTCTTAAAAAAGGCATCAGCAAAAACAATTAGCTTAGCATTTGGGGTCAGTGTTAGCATAGCATTTGGATGTCAGCTTGTGGCATGAGTAAGTAAAAACACACCACAAGTCAGTTGTCTATTTCCTCAACTTCAACTTAACACTTTTTTTTTTCTTGCAACTTCCTGAGGGCAATTTCACTTCCTCACCCGCCTACATCAGACACACACCCATGCGCTTACGCACAACACACACACACACACACACACACAAATTTAAAACTGAAACAATTAAACCTGATGCTTTTTTTTTTTAGACACTCAGGGGAGATGCTTTGTGGCAGTAGGGGAAAGTCCCACAATGCATCTCGTTATTTGTGGTGATGCTTGAAAGGACTTCCCAGATGCACGGAAATTGTGATTAGGAGAGCTGTGGGAAATTGTGTCAATTGTCTGGTAGCTGAGCTAAGTGGAGTTGCTTTTGAAAGTAAAATAAGAAAAGATAACGTCTGGGACATTGCGTTAACTGTCTGCTCGCTGAAAATGAAATATACTGGAGACGGGGATCAAATGTGTGTGTCTCAATGTCAGGAATTGAAAAGGTGGACATGATTCCAGTCGCTGGGATGTCTCAACATAACACATAAAAATTAAACATCACTTATGTAACGCAACGTAGCATAACGTAAGAAATGCTGTGTTACGTCAATTAGCATGACATACTTTGTAGATGATGAAACACCAAGTAAAGCACCATTGCATACCAAACATCACATCAACAAAGTGTGTGCAGGAAAGTGGTTAAGAGTGCATGATTGTCTGTGTCTCATGTGTTTTTTTTGTATTATTTGGTCTTTTTTTTTAACTTTTCTTTTGATAGCGGCGCGGGCACCCGCGGCGGCTCCTCTTGTTTTATGTTGAGAGGGAAGAAATTTCATCTGTGCTGTTATGTTACACATACAGTACATTTGACAATAAAGTTTATCCAATCCAATCCAAATTATGTGCCGTAATGAGGCGTAACATACTGTAGTATAACGTACTGGAGCGTAACGCGATGCAGCGTAGTGTGTAACGCATTGTCATGTAGCAAAATGCCATAAAGCGCAACGCAATGTAGCAAAATGGAATGGAGCATGACCGGGTTAACATCGCATACCACACGTCACAAAACATCACTTGCGTAATGCAATGGAGCGTCACATCACATAGCATAGCATGACATCATAACATAGCATCATGAAATGGTCAAGTAACATCTCATCACATACTACGACATGACACCACATTATGTAGCGTCGTCAAGCATGATCTAAGTGTAGCGTCATGTCATCACTTGTAGTTGAATTTATGTAACTGGATGTAGCGCAATGTAATGTAATAATAATAATCATAATAATAATAATGCCTTTTATTTAAAAGCGCCTTTCATGCCACCCAAGGACACTGTACAGACAATAAGAAAATACAATGTAAAAATTTGTAAATGTAGCGTGACGTAGCATGACGGAATGTAGCATAGCGTCATATAAATTAGCAATGTACCACGGTGTAATATAACATCACATACAATACCATCACAAAACACTGCTTATGTAATACAATGTAGCAAAACGTCACTCAATACAAGATGAGACACCCCCCCCAAAAAAAACCATCCAAATACAACATAGCGAATCTAAACAAAATATAGCGTAACACGACACAATATGGTGAAACTGTAATGCCAACAAGACTCGATCAGATAGCACACAAAGGGTTGGAGGAGGGTTGCATGTGTATTGTCGTGGTGCCGACACGTCACCGCACTGAACTTCCTCCATTCAAGCGCAACTTTTGACTCACACGCGAACAAAGAAAAAAAAAAAACAGAAAGGATGACGCTTGTCACGTTCGCCGTGCCGACCACGTGGAAGATGATAAGAAAGGACAAGGGAGCACATCATGGAGGATCCATCGTTCTGACTTTTGGTAAGTAGATTTTGCGTCAGTGTTTGTGAACATTCTCCTTTCCGACCCAGTTAACGTGACTCACATTTCAATAGTTTTGTGTCCCTTGCGAAGGGTGCCGATGGTCTTGAACATGTGATGCACGCACGCACTACAAAAAGCAAGTTACTGATGACCGATGGCGACAATTCCCACGGCGCGGTTCCTGGTCTGCGCTGCGTTGCTGATGCGGCTGGCGCAAGTCGCCCTAGGTAAGCCAAACAGTTTCCTGAGTTTATTTTCAAAACGTCTGTCAGGAGTAGAGCCCAAACCATCTTTATTAAGCGCCCAAGAGAGTACACTTTTTGATTTTAATTAACGAAGGAGAGAACAAGGAAGGAAGGAAGGCCACAAGGATGGTATTTAGGGGACAAAAGAAAGGAGGAACAAAGCGGCTCATTGTTCGAGTCTCTAAAACTGCTCTCCTGCCTTGTGCCAAGTGACTGCGGAGGGCTGTCCCTGATCTTTACGATGTAGCATTGCACTCCTCGCCAGATCAAAATTGAGAATCAAAAGAAGCTTTTTGGATTACAGACAAGAATGATCAAGTTGCCTTGATCCAAACTTTGAATCCCAAGGACCTGCCTCGAAACCCCTTTATGGAACCCCCTCGCTCATCAACCAGAAGTAGCTTGCTCGCAAACAAGTATGGCTCTTCCCCAATGAGTTCTGGCCTTGTCAGAGGTCATTTTTCTTCTCTTCTTCCTTCTGAGGTGAGACCTCAGCTTGCGTGATCTGGTCCAGCGCCGGGGCGGTGGTCCGCCGAGGTTCCAGCTTGGACGTGTACTGCGCCTTTCACTGCGAGTGCGAGCGCGCCATGTTAAGCGAGCACCCGCCGGCCCTGCAGCGCCACACGGTGGTCAACTCCACCACCACTTCCATCCGCGTGGAGAACATCACCAAGCATCGGACCTTCAGCTGCCTGTGCCACGGCATGGACCTGGACCCTTGCGGATTCGACATCTGGGCCGGTTGTGAGTGCGGACCGCTCGCTCAAAAAAAAAAAAAAACGAATTTTGTCAAGCGGATGAGTCCGTTGGATGTTTTCGCGTTTGCAGACCCACCGGAGAGGCCGCGGGATATCCGGTGCAAGCAGAAGGTGCTGAGCAACCTGACTGGTGAGGTGATTTGTTCCTGGGAAAGAGGCCGCAAAACACACCTGAGAGACACTTCAGAGTTAGTCTGGTGAGTGTGTGCGCGTGTGTGGGTGACCTTGAAGAAATCCGCTTCCCACGACTAAAAATTGTTGCCATGCAAATGTGTTGCAGGGTGTCTACGAGTGTATCAGGAGATCCCACGGAGTCGTGGCCACCAATCAAAATCTTCATCGGAGCATCCGATCCCCCGATGGCCAGA